CAACAGAGGCAGCAGGAGGAGGATCTCCGAGTTTGAGGCTAGTATGATCTAAAGAGCTAGTTCCAAGACAGCCAAGACTATACAAACAAACCCTGTCTCAATACATATATATATATATATATTAGCAGATATGTAAAAAGATTTATCAGACTATATAAAGAATTGAGATTAAGAAACCAAGCAGGGGACTGGAGAGATGGCTCAGTGGTTAAGGCACTGGCTGCTCTCCCAGAGGACCCGGGTTCAATTCCTGGCACCCACATGGCAGCTCACAACAGTCTGTAATTCCAGTTCCTGGGGATTCAACACCCTCATACATCAATTTGGACAAAACACCAAAGCACACAAAATAAAATTGAAATCTTGAAAGAAAAGAAAGAAACCAGTCAGGGCCTGAGATGGCTCAGAGGTGAAGAACTCTTGCTGCTCTTCCCTAGGACCTGACTTCAGTTCCCAGCACTCCTATCAGGCAGCTCGCAGCTGTCACTCCGTCTCCTGGGGATCCAGTGCCCTCTCCTGGCCTCCAAGGGTGCTGCATTCACACGCACAAACTCAAACCAACAAATGATGCACACATATACATAATAAAAATAAAGGAGTCTTGAAGCAAGCAACCCAACTGAAAAATTATTTTGTGTGTGTGGGTATTTTACCTACATGTATGTCTGTTCACCACTTGCGTGCCTGGTGCCCACAGAGACCAGAAAAGGTCAGATTCCATAGAACTGGAGTTAGAGGTGGTTGTGAGCTGCCATGTCGGTTCTGGGAATTGAGCCCGGGTCCTCTGGAAGAGCAGCCAGTGCTCTTAACCGCTGAGCCATCTCGCCAGCCCCTCAACCCAATGGTAAAAGTGAGTATTTGAACGGATGCACAGGAGCTGTGAAGATTGTGCAGTGGGTGGTGTTAACTTGCTATGTGAGCCCGGCAGCCTGAGTGTCCGCCTGAGTGTCCTCTTGGAACCCACCTGATGGAATGAGACAACCAAATCCTGCAAGTTGTCCTCTGACAACTAAACACGTATACTGTATCGTTACATAATGCACACACAATCATAATTTTCCCCCCAAGACAAGGTTTCTCTGTGTAGCTTTGGTGCCTGCCCTGGATCTTGCTCTGTAGACCAGGCTGGCCTTGAACTCAGAGATCTGCCTGCCTCTGCCTCCCGAGTGCTGGGATTAAAGGCTTGCGCCACAATCATGATTTTTAAAGATATGCAAATGACATCGTGAAAACTGCTTAGCATTGTCAGACACTGGGCATTAAAATGAGTGACACACTGTGATGTGTCTATTAGATGGGCCAAATCAGGATGGCTGACAAATACCAAGTGTTGACAGGCACAGGGCTTTTCGTTGTTTTAGTTTTCTGAGACAGTCTTTCTAGGTAGCCCTGACTAGTCTGGAACACATATCTGCTTTTTGCCTTATGGTATCAAATCCCTAGATCATCCACCCTCCTCTTGGCTCAGGACAGATTCAGGTTTTATTGTGACGGTTGCTTTTGCACGGCTGTGATCTGGCAGCCAAAGAGGAACTCACGGAAGGCTTGTGTTGCTGCATGACTTAGTCGACGGTGGGGGTGAGGCCTCAGCAGAACCTGGCAGCAGACAGGCGGGAGTGGGCGGGAGAGCCCAGCATTAAAACGACTGTTTCTAGTACTTACTGTGCCAATCAGGTGACACCTCCTAAAAGTTCCACACACTTCAAAATAGCTCTACAAGCTAGGGACAAAACACTTAAAACACGAACCTGTGGGGGACGTTTCAGAGTCAAGCTGTAACACCGTGTGTGTGTGTGTGTGTGTGTGTGTGTGTGTGTGTGTGTGTGTACGCACCTGCGATTGCATACATGTACATGCTATGTCACACATGTGGAAATTAGGGAATAACTTTGGGAGTTGGTTCTCTGGAAACAGCTCAGGTCCTCAGGTTTGGCAGCAAGCACCTCGTTTCTACTGAGCCATCTCACGGACCCACATATGTTTATCTTGAGCTGGACTTGTAAAGGGCCGGGGCTGTAGTTCAGTGGTACAGCACTTGGACAGTATGCACACGGTCTGGATCCAATCTCCAGTACTGCAAGTAAAAGAACAGATGAAATAGAGTGCACACTGGTAATTCTATGAGGAGTCTGTGGAGGTATGGGCTAGAATGTTCCTTATGGGCTAGAATGTTCCTACGAAGATTTTGTGCCTGTCCTTGTCAGGCAACCCAAGGATACCTGGAGAGTCCCACACTGCTCTACTAATTCTAAAAACTAATTCTGGGGATAGGAGTATGATTCAGTTAGCAGGATGCTTGCTTAGTGTGTGTTCTGAAGCTCCAAGTTCTGTCCCCAGTACCACATAACCCAAGTATAGTGGTTCCCAGCACTTGGGGGGTGGAGCCGTGAAGATCAGAAGTTCAAGGTCAACCTCAGCTTCATAGCAGGTTTGAGGATAGCCTGTGATGTGTGGGACCCTGCCTCCGTAATAATGAAATCATTAGAACATGATCTGTGAGATACAATAAATACACAATATGATGTGGTTTTACTGTCTTTTTTAGGTTCATTTTTATGTGTGGGTATGTGTATGCTTGCATGTGGATATGTGCATGTGAGTGTAGGTGCCTGTGGAGGCCAGAGGTGTCAGAGCTCCTAGAGACATGACCAGACTGAATTGGGTGCCGGGAGCTGAAGTCAGAGCCTCTGAAAGAGGCAACAGTGTTCTCAACTGCTGAGCCATCTCTCCAGCCTCTGGCTTGACTATCTTAAAGAAGTATTATGTGGGGCTTAAAGAAATATTAAGTGGGGCTAGATATGATGGTTCACATTTTTATTTCCCAGCACTCTGGAGGTAGAGGTAGGAGGATCTATGTGAGTGCGAGGCCAGTGTGATCTACATAGTGAGTTCCAGGATAACCAGGGCTATGGAGAGAAACCCTGTCTCAAACAAAACAAAATTTTAAGTGGGACTGGAGAGGCGACTCAGTGATTAAAACCCCATGCTGCCTTTGCACGTTGCGGAGCCCAAGTTCAGTCCCCCAAACCACAATGACTGGTTCCGGGGGACATGACGCCCTCTTCTCCACCCTCTGGGCACCTGTACTCACATGTGTGAGCGCACACATACACACAGAGATAAAAGTATATAACTCTAGACCTAGCACTATTTTTAAGACTATAAATTGGGATGTAAAAACAATTTTGAGACAGGGTCTCATATATCTCAGATTAGCCTCAAGCTCACTGTATACCAAGGCTGACCTAAAACTTTTGATCACCCTGCCTTCACCTCCCCACCCTGGGTGTTGAGATGAGCGGCATGCACCCCTGTGCCAGCTTTAAGAGGAAATCAACTCCTGCCGATGATAGAGGCATACTCTGGGGGATCTTAGGCTTCCAGCCACACATGGCTTTATGTAGCTTTTTCCTACTTTAATCTTTTATTTTTTGCAACAGAAAAGCAGAAAGACTCAGGAAAAAAAGCTCTGAGACAGGGTTGCCCGTGGGAGGTTTAAATTAGAGAGCTCTGGGAAGTGAAGGAGACAAGATGTGGCAGGGCCTGGGCCCGAAATGGCCTTCAGAATCTGGTCACACCAAGGCAAGAGGCCTGGCCTAGCAGGGGAGAGGCAGGAGGGGAGAAACTCCTGAAGGCAGCAGGGTCACGCACAAGCGACACAGACTGCCCTTGCTGCCATTGCCTGAGACTGCAAGAGGCGGCTGAGCGTTTCTCTGCAGGGCATTGAGTCCATTAGACGCGGACCTGTGTGCAAGCCGAGGGCCAAGTGAATTAACACGCCACGCAGTCATCCACTCATCCAATATTTGTCTAGTTTTCAATTACGTGGGAAAATGTTCACGAAAGGGCGAACAGGACACTGGACTCTGGTCACGGTTATGTCACTGAAAATGATGTGCCTGAGGAAATCGTGGATGTGTCTTCTGGTTATATTGCCTAGCATGGCATGAGGGCCTGAGTCCTACCCCCAGCATTTAAAAAAAAAAAATCTGGACTAGATGCTATGCTAGTTAGAGTTATTTTAAATGTTTAAAAATTATTATTATTTGGAGGCGGTAATCACGCCACACCCACACTGCAGGTGTGAAGGTCAGAGGATATCTTTCGGGAGTTGGTTCTCCCATCATGCGGGTCCCAAGCATTGAACTCAGACTTGGCAGCAAACACCTTTGCCCACTGAGCCCTATCACTGGCCCTGATTGGAATGACTTTACCTAGAAACCCACTGCACTAGCTCTATAAAAACGTGAGGGGAGTGGGCCGGGGGATGCAGCTCACCTGATAGGTGTTTGCCTAGCATGCAGGAAGCCCCAAGTTCCCCCTCTAGCACTGCACAAACCAGGAGACCAGAGGTTCAAGAGTTCAAAGCTAGGCTGAGATTATGTGAAACCCTGTTGCAAGAAATAAGTAGATTAATTTATAACTTTTTAGAAATAATGTGGGTAAAATTTAACAATGCCAGCAGAAATTTGGCTGTGAATTAGAGAAGTTAGAGAAAAATTTATTAGAAAGCTGCCCTCAGCCTCACCTTTCTCCTTAGCACAGTGACACTGACTAGTCTCCTGGAAATGACCCGTCAGGCAGGGCTCACTCAGCATTTCCAGAGGGGCAATGGTGAGGGTTTTTGTTGTTTGTTTCTCCAGACAGAGTTTCTCTGTGTAGCCCTAGCTATCCTAGAACTAGCTCTGTAGACCAGGCTGGCCTCAGACTTAGAGATCCGCCTGCCTCTGCCCCCAGAGTGCTAGGATTAAAGGTGTGTGCCACCAACTCCCGAAAAAATGATGAGAGTTTAAGCTAAGGGGGAAGACATGCTTTTCCTGGTTTCTCATTGGTTTACGGCTTAGAGCAGTTTTTGATAAGCACTTATGAAGAGCATAAACTCATTGACAAAGAGCAGGTGTCACTGTAGTTTGTGACGTTTCCAGTCCTTGGTGCACGTTTTCATCATCTCAATCTCATGTCCCTGTTTCTTTCCCTACTCCACCCCCAGGTATCAAGACGCCTATAAAACAACCCAAGAAAGAGACAAATCCAGATGGCGCCCCCTACTGGAGGATGAGAGCACAATGCCTACTAGAGGTGTGTAGACTATGTCCCTCAGCTGGAAGACTTGAGGTTGAAGCTGTGCTTTGTATGGTGTGGAGATGCGCGCTGAACTTGTAGAGAAGGGAGCTAAGCATACAGCATTTTCTCCAGGCTTTCAAGATCTGCCCTGGAGTAAGGGGGATTTCACTCCCTATAGCAAAGGTAAGAAGGGGCTGGGGCTGTAGATGAGCTGATAGAAGTCTTGCCTAGCATGCACAAAGCCCTGGGTTTGGTTCCCAGCACCTCATGGAACAGGCATGGTGTTGCACACCTGTAATCCCAGCAAGAAGAAACGGAAACAGGAGCCTCAGGAGTTCACATTCATTCTCAGCTATACAAGGAGCTCAAGACTGGCCTGGGCCAGAGACCCTGCCTGGGGTGTGAGAGACGGGTAGACAAGCAGGAGACCCAGCAATTCCCACCCATCCAAGGGATAGCATTTGTTGCACGGATCTGCAGTGCTTACAAGCTCTGAGTTCCCGGATTCCCAGCTTCCGCATTGTCCTGAAAGAGTGTGGTCTATGTTTGCCTTCCCACGGGTAGGCTCCTGCTTTGTGCTGCTACTTTGGAGCCCCTAAGCAGTGCTGTGAAGGATCAACCCAGCCCTGCCAAACAGCCAGGTGGCCTCAGTGACCCACCCACTGTCCTGGGAAACAGCCTGGCAGTGTACCCTAAGCAGCTTGAGCAACTGAGGTCCTAGAAAGCAGATGGGTGGCCCCCTCACCCGCCCACAGTCCCAGGAAACAGCCCAGTGTCCTTCTGTAACTGGCTTGGCTCACCGAGGCCCTGGAAAACAGGCAGGCAGCATTACGAATCTGCCTTCAGTCTCAAGAAGCAGTTAACAGCCTGTTCTCATCTCAGCCATCATCTGAAGTCTAAGAAACACCAACCACCAACCCTCAGCTCCAGGAAGCAACTGAACAGTCTTCCTCTAGCAGGCCAGGGCCAAGGGCCTCTGAAAAGACACTAACATCAGTGTGTCACTAGCAAGCAAGCTCACTATGGCTCACCAGGACAGCCACACCCTCACGTGCCCACAGGAACTACAGGCACCCCAATACCTGCAGCCAGGCACACCACACCCAGAGCTGTTAGTGAGCCATCTCACAGTAAGTGGCAGCATTCCAGCTGGCTGTGAAGTACCACAGCAGAGACCTTCAGTACTTGCAGCAATTAAAGCAGAACTACACCCACCACACTAAAGCTTTTTCCTGGAGTCAGAGTCACAAGGCCTGTCAAGCCAAGGCACACATCGCTGGGAGAGAGCCTTGAACTCTCTACGAAAGTCACCTGGTCAAGATGGCAGAGGCAGCGGATTCACCAGACACACAAACATCAGTGCAGGGCATAAAAAGCACATGCCTGTAATCGGAGCACATAGGAGGGGGAAGCAGGAGGATCAGGAGTTCAAGGTCATCCCCAGCTACATAGTGAGTCCAAGGTCAGCCTGTGCCGCATGAGACCCTGTCTCAAAACATGAAACAAAGGAATGTATATTGGTTGTATATTACCACTTACATTTTGGGGTGTTTGTTATGTGTTAAATCATTTTAAATCTAGAAGTCATAAAATTAAAGAAGTCGTCAGTGGCTAACTTTTGAGAACAGGAAAATAATGGTTTAAAAAGTAACTGATGGAGGGCTGGAGAGACATCTCAGTGGTTAAGAGTACTTTCCTGGAGGACCCAGGTTTGATTTCCAGCACATATATGGCAACTCACAACCATCTGTAATTTTAGTTCTAGGGGATCCAAAATGCTGTCCTTGGCCTCTGTAGGCATCAGATACACAAGCAGTGCACAGATATACATGTGAGCAAAATGCCCATACACGTAACATTTTTTAAAATGAAAAAAGTAGCAATGAACTATCAGAACGTTTGCAATTAACCTCTACTATCCAGAGTCACTTTGTGGCAGGGATGCATTCTGGGAACTCCATCCTGAGGCAATTTCATCAGAATGAGAACAGCGAAGTGTGTACTTACACAACTCTGGGTGCTGTCGCTTAGCCCTACATGGCCTAATGTGAGCAAGAGACGTGGAAAGCATGTGATGTGTGATGCTATCTGGTGTGTTGTACAATGAACACTTTTATTTAGTTAATTTTTTGCAATACCAGGAGTAAAAGAGGGTTTTGTATGTGCTAGATTCACACTCAACCATTGAGTCACAACCCTCGTCCATTAAAAAGGGTTTTTTGTTTGTTTTGTTTTGTATTTTGGTTGTTTTGACAAAGTTTTTTTGTATAGCCCTGGCCATCTTAGAACTCACTCTGTAGATCAGGCTGGCCTAGAACTTGGAGATCCATTTGCCTCTGCCTCCCAAGGTCTGGGATTAAAGCCATGTGCCATCACCCCAATCAGTAAACAGGTTTTGGAATAAATAGAAGATGCACTCCAACATAGCATGGCATCATAAAATAGCACAGCATAGTAACAATATGAGCCAATAACACAATCATGTCACCATCAGTGACTGCTGTGCACTGTACATCACTTCGTAGAGTGCACAAACACTGCTGTCACGTGACTTTTCCTGGAGGGATGTGATGTCTTCCACTCCTTAGACAGGAACAGCAGAACAAAGAAGCGGTTGCAGCCAAGTCCAGCTCGGAGAGTCGGGGGCTTGATCGCTGAGGCCACTGCAGGAGCCTCGGGGAGGAGCTGCTCCAAAGAGCAAGGGCTACTGGAAGGCAGTGCATTGACAAAAGCCCACCCCAGCATGAGTGACAGCTCATAAAAGCTGAGTCCTGCCCAGCACGAGCTCGGTGGTGCATGCCGGGATCTCAGTGTCTGGTTCCAGGACAGCCAGGGCTACACAGAGAAACCCTGTCTGGAAAAACCAAACCAAACCAACAAACAAACAAAAAAGGTGAGTCCTTGCAGCTCCCAGGCAGTTCCACTGAAGAGTCCCTCCTAGCAACTGTTTACTGTTTATGTAACGTGGTGGTGGCGGTGGTGGTGGTGGTGGTGGTGGTGGTGGTGGTGGTGTGTGTGTTGTAAGTCTTGCAACTAATGGCTACATATAACACTTCACCCCTTCCACCGGCTCTTCATTCTTTCTGCTCCCTCTTCTGCAGTGTGATTTTCTTCCATTTATGGCAGAGCACTGGCCTTTATGCCACAATAATAGCCTTTTATTCACGGTATGTTGATTGTTTGAGTCTCTGCAGTAACCACCACCCACTGCAGAAAAAGGTCTCTCTCTCCCGACTGAGGCTAACTTAGCAGTAATCTACTGGGTTAAATATGAACGTCCAGGAAGCAGTTTGACATATCCACAGCAGCCGGGACCTCTTTGTTGGAGCCCATGACCTCCTCAGCCACAGGTCTCTGCCCCAGCCTACAGTTCCAAACACGAACTATTTCCTGTGGAGTGGATTGTGTGTGTGCCTATGCGTGGTACAATGTATGTGTTTGTGTGTGCACATGTGCTTGCAGGTGTGCAAGCTTATGGAGGCCAAGGTCAATGTCAAGTGTTTTCTTCAATTTCTCTCCACGTTATTATTATTATTATTATTATTTTGAGTCAGGGTCTTACTATGTAGATCTGGCTGTCCTGGAACTCACCGTGTAAACCAGATTGGCCTCAGACTCATAGAGATCCTCCTGCCTCTGCCTCCTGAGTGCTAGGATTAGAGGTGTGTGCCACTATGCCTGGCTTCTACATATATGTATGTATGTATGTATGTATGTATGTATGTATGTATGTATGTGTGTGTGTGTGTGTATATACACACACACACACATACACACACAAATATCAACACACTACACATATATATGTTTGAGACAGTCTGTCACTAAAGCTGGAATTCATCAGTTTGGCTAGCTGGATGGCCAATGAGCTTCAGGGGTCCATTTGTGTCATCCCCCTGCTCCTCAGTTAGATACACACTGCTACACCATTTTTATGTGGTTACTAGGAGCTTGAATTCAGATCTTCATGCTTGTGTGGTAAGTATTTTACCAACTGAGCCCTGTGGAGTATATGTTAAACTAGCTTTACATGGACCCTAGGAGGCTCCCTGGCCAGCAGTGCATAGGGAAGTAGCCCACCTATGACACTGGGATTTTCACCTAAGGACTCGATGCCTTCTGGGAGTGCCTGTTCTCTGTATGCAGGATGCCTTCTTTAACCTTTTTTTTTTTTTTTTTAAGGAGAGTGTGAATACAGTCCTTACTGCCACAAGCTTTGCATCCAAAATTCTTGAATTTGGAGAAATTGCAGGGATCAGCACATATGAAATGTAATGGAGAAGCCTTGCTCTGGAGAACCACCTGCCTGGTCACAGTATCTCCCCTGCCAGGTGAGTATTCCTTTAAATACTTTAAGTGCTTTTTTTTTTTAACTCTCCCTCTAGATGCTTTACCTAACTCTAGGGTTAGCACTGTATAATGGAAAAAAATTTAATGGAGAGAGGTCTCCAAAGGCTTACTACCAAGTGCCAATTGGTCTCGGGACTCAGCAAGGTCCAGTGCAGCAGGAAAGGAGCTCCTACTCGGATTATTTTATCAAGAGAAATGCTGGCTGCAGAGGCACACTACCCTGTCCAGCTCTCCCAATCCACAGTCATTTTCCACGAGCCACTCCAGGGCTCATCGTCCTGGGGCGCTGCTGCAGGGCTGCTGCGCATCTCTCCATCACTGACTGGCTTTGCAGAGCCGGCTTGCACTGCTTGTCTAGCTCAGACTCAAGGTTCTGCTCTTGTCTGCCATGCCTGCCACTGGCACTGGGTCCCCAAACCTGGCAGCTTCTGGGATGGAACCGAAGTCATTGTTTCTACGTCCACCGCACCAGGCCAAGCAAACAGACTTTAGTCCCAATAAACTTTTTTTTTCTCCATTTTCTTGCCTTTCTTTCTTTCTTTCTTTCTTTCTTTCTTTCTTTCTTTCTTTCTTTCTTTCTTTCTTTCTTTCTTTCTTTCTTTCT